TCCAAGGGGGGGGGGTCCCCGTGAGCAGGGGGGTCCTCAAAATTTGGTGTCCCCAAACTGGGGGGGGGTCCCCAAAACTGGGGGTGCCCAAGGTCCCTGGGACTGGGGGGGGCCTCTGTGATGGGGGTTCCTGATAGGAGGGGGGGTCTCCAAAAGCCATTGGGGTCACCAAGGTGGGCTGGGGGTCCCCAAAACCAGAGGTCCCCAAGGGGGGCTGTCCCCCACGGCTGGGGGATCAGCTCAAAATCAGGGCTCTCCCCATAACTGGGGGGTCCCAAGGGGGGTTCCTCACCAGGTGCCCCCATAACCGGGGGTCCCCCCGCATTTAACCCCTTCCTCCCCTCTCTCTGCAGGTCCCATCCGGCCCTTTGGGCACCCCCCTCCCCCCGGGGCTGCCCCTGGCCGGGGGGGTCCCCGTGGGGGTCCCGGTGGCCGGGGGGGTCCCGGGGGGCTCCGAGCTCTTCTCGTGCCCCGTGTGCCACAAGAGCTTCGGGTTCCAGCGGATGCTGAACCGGCACCTCAAGTGCCACAGCGAGGTGAAGCGGCACCGCTGCCCCTACTGCGGGAAGGGCTTCAACGACACCTTCGACCTCAAGCGGCACGTGCGTCTCCAAAAGCCATTGGGGTCACCAAGGTGGGCTGGGGGTCCCCAAAACCAGAGGCCCCCAAGGGGGGCTGTCCCCCACGGCTGGGGGGGTCCCCAAAATCAGGGCTCTCCCCATAACTGGGGGGTCCCAAGGGGGGTTCCTCACCAGGTGCCCCCATAACCGGGGGTCCCCCCGCATTTAACCCCTTCCTCCCCTCTCTCTGCAGGTCCCGTCCGGCCCTTTGGGCGCCCCCCTCCCCCCGGGGCTGCCCCTGGCCGGGGGGGTCCCCGTGGGGGTCCCGGTGGCCGGGGGGGTCCCGGGGGGCTCCGAGCTCTTCTCGTGCCCCGTGTGCCACAAGAGCTTCGGGTTCCAGCGGATGCTGAACCGGCACCTCAAGTGCCACAGCGAGGTGAAGCGGCACCGCTGCCCCTACTGCGGGAAGGGCTTCAACGACACCTTCGACCTCAAGCGGCACGTGCGCACCCACACCGGTGAGAACGGGAGAGAACGGGAGTGGAACGGGACTGGAATGGGACTGGAACGGGATTGGAACGGGCTGGAACGGGTGGCATTGGGATTGGGAATGGGAATGGGATTGGAGTGGGAAAAGGTTCAATGATGCCTTCGACCTCAAGCGGCACGTGCGCACCCACACCGGTGAGAACGGGAGAGAACGGGAGTGGAACGGGACTGGAATGGGACTGGAACGGGATTGGAACGGGTGGGATTGGGAATGGGAACGGGAATGGGATGGGGAAAGGTTCAACGACACCTTCGACCTCAAGCGGCACGTGCTCACCCACACCGGTGAGACCGGGAGAGAACGGGATGGAACGGGTGGGATTGGGATTGGGGTGGGGACAGGGACAGCAGTGACAGCAACCAGCCCGGCCCCAACCTCCCCTCACTCCCTGCTACCCCCCGTGTCCCCAGGTGTCCGTCCCTACAAGTGCTCGCTGTATGACAATGCCGTGTCCCTCCAATGTCCCTCTGTCCCCTGTCCAGGTGTCTGTCCCTACCAGCACTCCCTGTGTGACAATGCCATGTCCCCCATTCACTCTCCATGTCCCCCTGTCCCCTGTCCAGGTGTCCGTCCCTACCAGCACTCCCTGTGCCATTAGGGACATGCCCATTAGGGACACGCCCATTAGGGAGGGACACACCCATTGGGGACACGCCCATTGGGGACACGCCCATTAGGGACATGCCTATTAGGGAGGGACACGCCCATTAGGGAGGGACACGCCCATTGGGGACACGCCCATTTGGGAGGGACATGCCTATTAGGAAGGGACACGCCCATTAGGGAGGGACACACCCATTCGGGACATGCTCATTCGGGACACGCCCATTCGGGGGGACGTGCCCAGTAGGGAGGGACACGCCCATTCAGGGGGACGCGCCCATTGGGGACACGCCCATTGGGGGGACATGTCCATTAGAGACAGACACGCCCATTAGGGATATGCTCCTTTTGGATATGCCCATTAGGGAGGGACACGCCCATTAGGGAGGGTCACGCCCATTCAGGGAGGGACACGCCCATTAGGGATATGCTCCTTTCGGACACGCCCATTAGGGAGCAATATGCCCCATTAGGGACACGCCCATTTGGGAGGGACACGCCCATTCAGGGAGGGACACGCCCATTAGGGAGGGACACACCCATGGGGGGACACGCTCATTGGCATTAGGGACACGCCCATTTGGGAGGGACACGCCCATTCAGGGGGACACGCCCATTGGGGACACGCCCATTGGGGGGACACGCCCATTAGGGACAGACACGCCCATGAGGGATATGCTCCTTTTGGACATGCCCATTAGGGAAGGATACGCCCCATTAGGGACACGCCCATTTGGGAGGGACACGCCCATTCAGGAAGGGGCACGCCCATTAGGGACACGCCCATTAGGGAGGGACACACCCATGGGGGGACACGCTCATTGGGGGACACACCCATTAGGGACACGCCCATTAGGGACATGCCTATTAGGGAGGGACACGCCCATTAGGGATATGCTCCTTTTGGACATGCCCATTAGGGAAGGATACGCCCCATTAGGGACACGCCCATTTGGGAGGGACACGCCCATTCAGGGGGACACGCCCATTCGGGGGACACGCCCATTAGGCAGGGACACAACATGCCCATTAGGGAAGGATACGCCCCATTAGGGACACGCCCATTTGGGAGGGACACGCCCATTCAGGGAGGGGCACGCCCATTCGGGGGGACACACCCATTAGGGAGGGACACGCCCGTTTTTAGGTTAGGGGAGGGACACACCCAGCTGGGACACGCCCGGTTCTGGAAGGGACACACCCACTTAGGCACACAGTTAGGGAAGGGACACGCCCATTTGGGGACATGCCCATTATAGGCAGGGACACACCCACCTGGGGACACGCCCACTTAGGCAGGGACACGCCCAGTTTTGGGTTGGGGAAGAAATGCTTTGAGGCCACGCCCACCAGGGACTAGAGACCACGCCCATCGGGTTGGGACACGCCCCTTTTGGGGTCAGGTGGGGGGATTTTGGGTTGCAGCCACGCCCACTTCCCCCTTTGGGAATTAAAGCCCCTCTGTGATCACTGACCACGCCCCTCGTGATGGAGGACACGCCTCCTTCGGCTCAGGCCACGCCCCCTCCATAAGGAGCCCCTGGTCTCACTTCGGGGTCACCTGGGGGTCTCGCCAGCCCCTCCCCCACACCGCGGGTGCCGTTAGTCCAGTTTTTATTGCCCGGGACCCCCAGAACGGGGGAATGGGGGAGGGGGTGATGGGG